CAGCAGATCCCATGTGCTCTCGCTAGTACAAGGTTTCTTAATCCGTGCTCCAGCAACCGGAAATACCTTGGCAATGGCCTGTTGGATGTGTGTGTTGATGAGATCAAGGTGACTGTCAACATCCACATGCCAAGGGGTCCTAGGCAAGGAGCACAAAATCTGCGCCATCTGCTGCCGGCCCTCCTGTGTGCGCATTTCATCCACATTGTACCGATCTGCCCTAGGCTCGGTCCTGATATGTGGCAGAACGGTCACGCTGGCACAAACAGGGCTGTGATCATAACCGGATGTTTCGTCTACAAAATCATCAGGCACTCCAAGGGTAACAAGACTCGGCTGCCACTCAACCGGCACACACACGTAATCAATGCAATCAGGCCGTCCTTGGGGACTTATCCATGAGCACACTGGATTTCCAAAACAATCCACAACATTTGTGGGCCGCATGCTGCAGTCTTCCAAGAAGTCACAGAACAAGCCAGCATTGCGTCCAACGGCACTTTCTCTGGAACACTTCCCTCCATCGACAGAACAGTCAAATCTGGCATTTGCGTCGACCATGAGGCAAGGAACATGCCCGCGGGGAGCCTTCCGCATCACGTCTCTCAACTGCCACCACCACTCATGGGCGGTATCATCTGTCGCAGCGACGGTCGGTGCATGCGCCGCAACGTACGTGACCCTCATGCCATGATGGCGACCTGCAACAGCTACTATGCGCGGATCTGCATGCACAATTGAAAACGCCTTGGCATCATGCTTTAAGCCCTCACAACCTGGGCCCCCGCAAAATTTGGCAACCCAAAGCTGACAACCAAGCTGGCCACCTGGCGCCGGCCCACAAAATTTGTGATAATGGTATCCGTTCACAACCGGCCGCATGTCAGCGCAGCCCTCCTGCAGCCCCACCACGTGCAAACCAAGGCGCCAAAACTGCTCCTCCACGGCAGCCATCTGAGTTTGTCCCTTCAGCGTGAGGGCATTATAAGTAGCCATTTTGACCACAACACTGCATGGCAGCTCCGTGTCAATTGTGACACTGCGAGAGGTGGATCTGACACCCCGTCCGGCGGGGCCAAAGTCAGCAGGACACAAATCAGATGCACCTATGGTTGCATGCCCAAAGCCGCACGGCGCAGAAGAGCCCTGCTCATCCACCAATGGCCATGACGGATTAACACCTGTGTGCAAAACCATCCACAACCAATCCAACTCGCCCCTCTTTGCGCCTTCCACATGCATGTAGGAACTGGGCGGTCTGGCATGTTGAGTGTCCTTCCGAGCGGCCTTTGCAATAGCGTCGGCCATTTCGTTGAAAGGCTCACAGCTATGCGCTCGGACGTGCTGAAATTTTCCCGCAGCCCCAACACATCCCGCAAGAAAATGACAATGCGCGACTGCCTTATGCAGCGCACCGGGCTTCGCAGGGGCATCATTTCCGCCTGCTAATCCTGCAGCCGAGGTGCAATCGTAATTTATATAAACTGCAGGCACACGCACCGCAACGGCAATCCATAGTGCATGTATAATGGCCATGACTTCAGCAACGTGCGCATTGGTGCTCACAACGAGGGACCTTTCGTCGTCCCACTCAGTCCACACTCTATCTGACATGTAGCCGCACCAGCACCAAGCCCATCAGTCCGAATACAGCTACCGACCAGGCTGCATGAGCCGTGTTGTCCTCGAATGAACCGTCCACGTATATGATCAAGGCCTCGAACACCCGGCCCGGAGTCATGTCGGGTATGTGTTTGAGGGCTTCGCTACTCACTGAGAGCAGGCCCGGTATGTTCCGCTCTCTACATAGCCTCGCAAGCTGGAAGGGTTCACAAAGCTCGTCCATGTCACTACAAACTGCAAACCTGATGGGTCGTTCAATGTATGTGGGCTCTGGCAAGAGCTCACTTAATCTCACCTCGCGTTTCAACGAGTTTATCTGGCATGCGCTGAGTTGCCCATCATCCCATGTGGTGTCTGTACCAGCCGAGGGCGCGCTCCGGCGGCCAGGGAAGTTCTGTTTTTTGACCGACCCACCCATATCCATATCAACCTGATCACCCAGGCGTCTGTACTGCTCTGACG